AATTGCCAACTGTATGTTAATTTTCATCATAGCATTCATTCATGGCTGAAGGGACTGTACCGTTGATTTTGAATATAAAGCATATTTACCAGGTGAAAACTAGAAAATTGACTTTACTTGGAGTGATGAGTTAGAAATTATCAAAGCCTACCTCTGTCTTGCTGACAAGACAATCCATCTAGAGTAGTGCACAGATTTCTGTGCATGTGTATTTTCATAATACACTGTCTTTTGACAGTTCATTTTCCCCACAAATTCTTTGTGTCAACATATTTGGGTCTGTTGGTAGTTGTGTCCATCTTGGGGAGCTATATGTGAAACAACCCTCAGCTGGAAAACCTGAAACAAAACAATAGTTTCACTTAGCTAAGCTTAGCAATCAGTGGAGAAATATGTACAGTGTTTGTACCACTATTTTTTAATGCCATAGTTGGATATGAGATGAAATATGTCCCTAAGAAAAGTAATAGGACTGCTTTTTGAACAATGATGTGAATACTGCATTCAGCAGTGGCACATAGCAAAACAAGGCAGGGCATCTGAGCATGGTGAAGTAGCATGTACTGAGTACTGTTGGGATGTGGAATGAGCTAGAGAGGTAAAAAAATAAAATATTGAACACTGTGAGTATTGCAGCTGCCATCAGTGTGCAGTCATTCAGAATAATTAATGTCTGTGGTGCCGGTCATTAGTCATGGTCATGGTGCCTTAGGCAAAAGAGATGGGGACCACAGACTGTCTCCTTGGAATACATGAAATGAATACAGAAGATGTGCTATTGCATGAGCAGCCTGTCATCACCATCAGATGATGAATTCCTTTGTTTTCCAGGAAATACATACTAAAGGGAGGAGTGGGGGAAACCAGTCTTGCAGCTCGTTATAACTACTAGGACTCATCTCAAAAGGGATAGGATTTGCCTCAACCAATAAACCATCTTTTCAGATAATCTCATTTTAGTCTAGGCATGTAATACAGGTCAGAAGAATCACTGTGTAAAAGTGCCTGTTTCTCTCCATTGACTGTAACTGGAATCCAGATGACTTGTGCAAGTGGTGGACATCTGTGTAAAAGGCATCTCAGTTTTAGATGGTGGGATTCTTGTGTGCCAAACCCCAGTGTTCATGTAATAAAATTCAGTGAACCATAGTAATGTCAAAAATGGTATTTTAAGAACCAAAATAAAATGCATCAAGTTTTTCAATGAGACACCTAGTGGTATACACTTAGAAATGAATGTGTTACTGAAATAAGCAAGAAAGGAAAGGAAATTACGTATTTAAAGCAGCAGATTAATAGCATTTATATTTTGTATCTTTGTGAGCCAAATGAAGGCAAAATAAGTACAGACTTGTAAAAAGAGTAAGTTTCTCATCCTAGATGATAAGAATAAATCCTTTTAGAATTTGTTCTTATGGGTACCAGTCAGGAGAAACTGCAGTTCTGAAATACAGTGTTCATAACCACTGATAAACAAGAAATATTTAATGAAGGGACCTGCTGATAGCTGCTGAGACTGACTGAAATGCATTTCTAGCAGAGGAGTGATGTTGTGCAGAGACACAAGCTGACCCAGAATAAACACCTCAGGAACTTTCTTTCTGGACCGATTCTGCTGCATGAAAGGGACTGATAAGATGATTCATGATGGGCATGGATGAGAAAAATTCAGTTTCTTTTGTGTGTTCTGGAAGACTACTAAATGCTCAGCTAGGCTCTCTGAGACCTGTCAGTTCTGGCATAACAGTATCAAAGCTATCAAATTAAATTCCTGATTTGTTTCGCTCTTTTCATATAGAGGTAAGGACAGGATGTACCTGCACCTCAAGTTGAAACACACTCTCCATACACCCGGCAGCACGCTGCACTGTAACACATGGCTCCCATGTACACATACGTGCACTAGGGCACAGCTGAAACAAAATAGTGATTTACATTTCAGTGGGTTATATGGTGCTTACTTGGCATGTTAATATTGTTGCTATTTAAATAAAATCCCCTGAAGTTTATTTCTGACAAGATTGTAGTAACTGTAGTACCATTAAGCAGTCGTTAGGAACATTTTGTTTATGTAGAATTAAAATATTAGAGTTTTTCAAGAGATTGCTGACTTCCTTTTGTGGTCATTTGTAATTATTTGGGACCAAATCCAGTTCCCAGTAAACTGGATAGGAATCTCAGTTCCAGAGGGACTTGTGTCCACTTTCTTTAGGTTTTTGAAGATGCCAAGTTTTATAAAATTGAGATTTTACTTGCGTGTCTGATACAGTGGGGACCAGGACTTCCTTCAGGACTCTGCTTAATATGTGCAATGATATACTTTAATTAATACTTTAATCTTTTTAATTGGATGTGGTAGTGGTGAGGTTGATGGGTCTACCTGAGGGCACCAAATCTTAATCCATGACCAACTCTGTGACTGAACTGGCATAGCAAAGGTGTGGTGGGAGGACAGGGAGGAGGAAGAGGCTGTTGTATATTTTTGTTCAGATATTTGTGGTGTGACCTAGCTATAGAGGGAGTTGGACATACAGATGCTCTATGAGTAATAATATTAATAATAATAGGAAAAAGCTCATGGGATCCATTGTTATGCAGGCATTTCACAGACCATTAAACAGTTCAGGTAGGTGGGGATTTTTATTGTCAGGGTACAGGTGATGGTGAAAATGAGTGATTTTAATAACCAGTCATCTGCTGGAAGCCAATGAAGGAGAATACCAATGTGCTTTGCAATGCACTCACAACCAAATTTTGAGAAGACAGTGGGAAAAGTAATTCTAAAGGGGACCTATTATATTTCATACCAACTCTAAGGGAGAAATTGTTAAAGAATTGGGAGAGAAAAGGCAGGTTGAATAAGAATTACCCCTCAATGACAGGACTCACAGATTTCAGGAAGGGAAAGAGGTAAAAGAATTAGAACAACAGGTTTCAAGGGGATATGAGAGGACAGTGGGCATAACCTCTTTGTAAAGGAGTCTGAAGAAAAGAAGTTAAAGAATTGTTTGCTCCCCAAAGAAAAATTATAAAGATAAAAAATGCAAATTGGGACAACACAGGAGAATGACAAAATGCATAGTAAAATAAATCTGTCTAAAATATAAGTAGCTCATTTATGTCAAGCACAAGAAGGAACCATGGACAAAATTAAAACTAGTTTGGATTATTTAGAAAAAATACAAAATAATAGCAAAACAGGCAGAGGAAAAAAACCCCAAAACACAGCAAAGAAGCCAAGATCAAAAAATGTGTACAAGAAAAGATTGTGTACAATAAGTATGTGAGGAGTAACAGAAATGGTTCTGGAAGTATATTTTTGGTAAGAGCATGTTCCAGGAAAGTGTTGCTCTACTGATTAACAGAAGCACATTGGTCTTCACTAGTGTTATTTTGAGTATATGGAAAACAGCCTAGAATAGAGAAAGGACAAATCAGACAGTACTTAATGTGTTAGGTGTTCCCAGGTTAGCTGTGCCTCCGATTTGCTATACTTGGAAACTAGAAGAATTTTCTAAATTAGTCTCAGCCCTGTTAGCAGTTACCATTGAGAATGTGAAGAAGAAAAATGAGTGTGAAAAAAATTCCAGAAAAATAGAAAAACGCACCCTTAAAAGGAGGCAGGAGCTGTGGATGGAAGAGTCACAGATTTGCAGATAATTTTTGTTCCTAGAAGAATTGCAAATATTCATTTTGTAAATACCTGGAGGAAAGTAACGAACAGCAATCAGCATGGATTTGTTGGAACTACCTAATACCCTGTAACAAGAAATTAAAATTTGTGGATAAAAGAAAAGGAGCAGATGCCCTACATTTTCATTTTAAGAAACTTCTGAATGCTGTCTTACAAAAGTCCTCTATAAACAAGCTAGGGACCATAAATCAGTATTTATATGTAAGTTGCATGGGATATAGTTGCACAACTGGTTGGATAAGGTAAACCTCAAGCACCTACTGCTGTTTCACTCATGTGAAAGAGTTTATTTTAGACACTAATATAGTTTTTCAGCAGTAATCTGGATTATGTTCTAGAGAATATGCTTATTAAATTTGCAGTTGTCACAAAGTTGAGCATGAATTGGAAGGATGCCAGAGAACAGGATTAGAATTGAAAATGATCTTGACATGGCTTTGAAAAGAAAGTAATATTTAGCAGGTGTAAGTGTATGATACTATACTTGAGCAGAATAGCCATAGACAGGCACAGGACAGATGGTTAAGCAGTGGGTTTTGAAAACAATATCTATTGTAAATATTCCATGAATAGACATAGTCAAGCTGTTGTAAAGAAAGCATGGATGGATGAGAAAGGCATATAACCTGTAAAATGTATGGAGTGATTCATCTGATGTACTCAGTACTCTGCCCAGTTCAAATACTGGGACCAGTTTTGAGCATCACATTTCAATAAAAATATAGCTAATTAGAGGGAATTGAGGGAATGGCAATAAAGATGGATAGAGAGCTGAAAAACAGGACTTGTAAGGAAATTGAAAAAAAAAGAAGAAACAGAAATATTTAGCCTTGAAAGCAAAGGGTAAGTAGGAACAAAATGTTTTCAAGTATGCTAAAAACCCCAACAAAGCACCTTGAGCCTACTAACCAACCACCTAAAGAAACACACCCTAAACCACCTTGAAGCTACGCTGATGAAGGGAATGATCTGATCTCTGCATCCCATATGGATAGCTTAGATTATAAGAGAAAGAATTAATTTAAACATCAGAAAAAAATTCCTGACCATAAAGTAACAAGTTAGGTGAGAGATGGGTAAGTGTATTAGCAGACTTTCAAAACAGGGCAAGCATATCCAAAAGTGATACAAGTATAGCTTTGTTTCATCTGCAGTTTGGAGTTGACTTGCTCTGGACCCTCTTAGCAGTATGAATGTGTTACATTACTGTGTATTATTGCTGTGCCACACTGCATTTTCTGTTCTGTAAATCTTGTGGAACATTATTGTAATTTGAACTAAGATTATCCTCCTTCTTTTATTTCAGTGTGTGCAGAAGCTTACAATCCTGATGAGGAAGAGGACGACGCAGAATCTAGGGTACTTCATGCTTAGAGTCAAATACTTCTTCAAATTTCAGACATTAACTTTAGGAGGAAAAATGTAACCAGCTTTACCATGCCTTTCCAAAAATATCATTATTATAAGATACTTTAGAAATCTCTTGGGGTTTTGTGTTAAAGGAACATTAAAAAATTCTCTGTAATAGTCACCCATGTAGGACTTGATGTATTATTTTTAATTACCAAACCTGTGGTACATGGTTAAGGAAACATTTTTTTGCAATTATATTTACCCAGAGAGCACCTGCTTCTAAAAACTCTTCCCTGGTGTCCATAATCTCGTGGTAGTTTCCTTTTTCAAAAGGCAGGAAAAAGTTAAACTGTAAAATTGCTAAGATTTTTCAAGGTACAATGTGACAAATAATGAACTATATTTATTTATTTTATTCGTGTCACCTTTTTAAAGGTATTTACTTGGCTTTTAAGATGAAACAGCATGACTTTCAAAAGAAGTTTAATTGTTTATATTCCGTTGTTTACTCTGTGAAATTTCTGATATAAATTTAACACAGATACTATTTCACAAAATACTCTTTAGGAAGTAGTCATGGCTGAATGTAACAGTGGTGCTTTTTATAAAACATGAATGCCCTAAATATGATTAGAGAGTAGTAACGTTTATGTAGCAATAGCATAGATAAATGTGTCCAGAGCAGCTTGCAGAAATTAACTGGATTCTACAGGTGTAAATATCTTGTGATCTTAAACATAGCAGTGTTTCATTTGCTAATTGTATGGTGGTACTATTTTATCATTTAGTGTTTGTTCAAATCCTGAAGGTTTGGAAATGAAAGAGATATGAATCATGGCCAAAATATTGTGTAAACTGCTTAGTTGAATTAGCTCAGTCTTTCAGCTAGTGCTACTGTATGATAATGACTCTAAGAGCTTTTTTATTATATCCCTCAGATTATTCACCCCAAAACAGATGATCAAAGAAACAGACTGCAGGAGGCGTGCAAGGACATCCTTCTTTTTAAGAACCTAGATCCGGTAAGAAATTCTTGGTAATGAGCAGCATTTAGCAGTGCTGTTAAGAATTACTTCTCTTGAGCTTTGGAACAGAAGTTTACAGATTTGACTTGGTAACCTCTTACGTATGCTTTCTTGACTGTAAATTCCAGAAATGCCATTTTTTAGAACTGATACATCATATATGGAATATTTTGCTTACCACCATAAGTGGTAATATTGAAATACATTAATATGAATCTGTACATTAATAAAAACGGATACATTAATCATATTAATTACTGTATTTTCTTACTTTAAATCTTCCTATACACTGGTGTCTATAAACACATCAGTTAACTGGAAAGTTTACATTTTTTCTATTAGTTACTTTTTAGCATCAAAAGGTGCTGAATGCTCCATCAAAACAGCAAATTACTCCCAAAGCCTTCAGTGTAGTTATGGATGTAATTGAACTAGTGAATTATGAAATAGAAGGAAAGAAAAAGGTGCCAGTGAGGTGTTTACATTATTATTTCACTTAAGGTAGATACTGTAAAAAACTTCAGGTAATTTTCTTCCATGCAAATAATTTCCTTCTCTTTTGTATAAAAACAACTATGAGCTTTTAAGAAAGCCTAAATACACTGAATGAACGATCTGGATGAGACAAAGGTGATAATGCTACCAAAAAAGTACACAGGATTGTTGTAGAGAAAAGGTGAGTATATCAATCAAAACATGCATCCTGAGGTTGGGATGACTCACAGAATCCCAAATGCTTTCTCAAGAGATTTGATTCTGTGCTGTCAAGGGAGGGAGCATGATGGAAAGAGACACAATTATGTAGATTTTTATGTATGAGAACAGAAAGTTTAAAATTTGATTCAAGAGGAAGCTAATGGAAGGACCAGCCTGCAGCTCTGTTTGGAAGTCAGGTACTATTAAAGGGAATGTACATTAATTTGTGCTGCAGGTTTCCAGCTCCTGCTTCTGTCTGCACAAAGATTGAACCCTGACCCTCGGTACTGTTCCCTTAGAAGCCCTGAGGAGCAGTGAGCCACAAAGCCCCAGCTTAGCAGAAGCTTGGAGTTATTGTTATGGAAGGGCATCAAGTCTCAATGTGGGCGTTAATACATGTGTATTCTTGTGACAGTAGGGATCCTGACACAGAAAGTTTCCTAACTCCCTCATGCTGGCTGTTTAATAGGTAGTTAATCAGCTGGTCCACTATACTTGCTCAAGCTAAAGCTATGCACACATTTACCCTTCTGCTCCTGAATTATTTTTCTGAGTAGCTTCATGGAATCAAAGTAATTTGTGGGCGTCTGCTCTCGGTATGAAATTGCTTTATTATATGTTTTCCTTATTGTTGGTGTGTCTTGGCTTCCACTTGGCTGGACCATCATTACATTAGCCTGCCAATGGCATTTTGGCAGATTCCTCTTGGTTAAGCTCTGAGCATTTCTCTCTTAAGAGCCACCATGAACACAATGGATTATTGTGTGCTCCTAGAACCTGCTGTGATGTTAATAGTGCTTACAGTATCAATCCTCTGGATGGGGTTTGCCTTGCATTACAGTGAGAGCTAGATCTCCTGTCTCAATAGTCATCAGCCACTTGGTCTGCAGGATAGGGGTTTGTTGGCCATATTGTAATGTTGTGTAGACATAGAGCATTAAATTGCTCCATTGTTGGTGCTTGATGTTCTTTCTCCAAGGATGGATTCTTCCAAGGAAGAATTGAGGGATTATTTCCTCTGTTTATGAAGCTCTTCTCAGGATTGTGCTTGATGTCTTGATACTGGTGTTTTGAACTATTTTTTTTCAATTCTTCTTTTGACTCAGTTACTTGCAATTGCTAATAGTTCCCACAATCTGTTCCAGGTGTTTAGCAGAAGAATTCTCAGCTGAGTTCTCCCTTTGTTGAGGTGTGCAATCCAAAGCCTTGAAATGTGCTCTGGGGATCTCCCAAGTCTTGTTCACCCCCTTTTGCTCAGATTGTCCAGTGGATTAAGAACACTTTCTCCTTCCTGAAATCCTTTACAGGCAGCATTCTGGAAAGTTGAATAGAATAATTTTTGAAAGGGAGTTTTTCATTACAATAATTTTATTCGTAAAAGAAGGCACTGGAAAACTACTGAGCTCTGAAGAGAGCAAAGATATTAAAATGTAGCCTTCTTAAGTCTGGTTTGTTCCTTCTGTGGAGCCAGGATTTGTGATCCCTGGGGAACTTCTCCCACTCCTCCTTGTTCTGCTTCTAAGCAGCTATTCCTGTGCCAGCTCTCTTCCTCACCTCTGCCTCTTCATGAGAGATGCTTCAGTTTACAGAGTGGTGTATTAGCAAAAACCTTATTCATCTTGAAGAGAGAGAATATCTTCTGCTGCCAAAGCTCACGTCTCTGGAACAAAAGTCAAGTTTTGTATTGATAGCATCTCCTGCCCCCACTGTTGTGTTTTTTGGTTGTTTTTTTCCTTGTATTGAACTTCAGCTTCTTTCTGCTGTAGTTCTGTGTACGAAAGTCACCATTTCAAAGGTCAGTTGGAGGGGAACAGACAATGTAAAGGGCTTAATGGCTTTTCCCTGATGGCCTTTTAGAGTGTGTCAAATACCATTTTCAAATACAGAATAACATGTCTTATAGTGCAATCAGAATTCCATTCAGTACATGATGCTCAGTGAAGTCCACCTTTTTTTAACACTTTATCCCACCCTCACACACTGTATTTTAATTTGAATGGAAGGATAAGATAACGCTATCACTAAAGCTGAGGGAGAAGTTGCAGTAGTTAGGAGTGACTTACAGTTCTCTGCTCAGTGTGTTAATTAAAGAGGCCATTTGACATGACAGGAGCCATCACATAAAATTAAAACCCAGCAGCCCAGCAGAGCCATTTGAATCTAAAGCTAAATGGGAGAGGAGAAAAGGATAACCTTCAGACATTGAGACAATTTAGGACGTGCTATACACACACACAACACTGTCTTGAGCCCTCATTTAACTACAGTAGTTTTTTAATATCAGATAGGTAAATTTGCACATATATATATAAATATCAATATTTCACGTATTGTCTGTGATTAAAAATATAATAATGTAAAGAAACACCAGCTCTCATAGATTTTCTTGAGCAACATTCTTATGTTTCAAAGCCCAGCTCTTACAGTTTAAAGTCTGTGAAGTTTCTTGAATTTAATGGAAACTTTCTTTAACTTTGTAGATTGATGAGAATGTGAAGGGTCAGTGAATGTGAGTTTAGCAATGTATTCCTTAGTTAACTCCCTTAAATTAAAAATACTTTTAAAGAATTGACATTTTAGCAATATTTTTGCCTTTCTGGGGGCTTAATCATTTGCCATCTAGTTGCTGTCACTCAATACCAGTTTTACCTAACGTGTTACAGTTCTGGAAAAACTACTTCAAGAGAAGAAAATTAATTGAAACATGAATTTGCAACAAGATAGGGAAAGGAGGCTTTGCAGAGGTACTTAGTTATTTTTTAGAGGACCAGATGAGGAAAGAATCAGGAGACAGGTCTATTCAGATGCTTGTTTTCTTCTTCCCATGCTTTATTAGATTAACTCATTCCTCTTCTAACGCACCTGTTCCTGTTCTCCTTCCCAGGAAAACCTCTTCCTCTTAGAGTACTGTTTATTGTCCTTCTCAGTCTGGCTTCTCCATTGCCAGAAGCCCTGATATTACTGTTTTGCTCCCAGGGTTGTCATGATGTGTCAGGCTGGTTACTCTACCTGCACGCACAAAGCATGTTACCAGAGACCCTCCTTTGTGCTCCAGGTGCTGGAGGTTATTCCATTGGGCTCTGAAGCTGCTCTTTCCCTTCCACTTTCACTTTGGGTAAGCCAGATAGGAGAAAACAAGATGACCAAACCTCTTCAGCCCTTACAGAGGATAAGCCTGAAGTTGTTATCTCTGAAATTTCTCTGTTCAGCCTAACAACTGTTTTATCACCAGGAAAATAGCAGCAGCAGCAGCTCATCTACTGGCCAAGGAAGCATTCTACACTTTTATTTTTACAATTCAGATTTGTTCTTTTGGTTTTGTCTCTTAATGGGAAAAAGTGACGGGGTGATTAACAACAAGCTATTTAGTTTGGAAATTACGACACATAGGGCAGCAGTTGAAAAACCTGATGAACCTTTCATCAGAGCAAGAGACTGGCTCAAAGGGCTGGTACCGTGAAAGCTGAGCTGTGCCCTTGCACTTAAAGTCTGAATCCTTTCTTTGGCAAAAATTCACAAGCAGTGTGTTAGATCATCTATTCTCTTTTAGAGAAGTTTAATATTGGGGAGCTTTGACCTGCTAATGCTTGCACAGAATATATAAAATAGGTCTTGACCCTTTCCTAAAAAGTAATAAATTATACATATTGTTCACAAATATGCAAGAGCAATTTCTGGGCATATTGCCACTTATGTACCTGGAGAATTAGTATAAGAGAGAACAAATATTGATGAATCAATTAGAATTGATTAACTTGAAGGAAGATGAAAGAGAACATAATGTAACTGTTTTATGAATAATGGAATCTTTTACTTAAGGCCAAATCATTTCTTGAAACCAGTAACAGAAGAGTCTCATGTTACTCTTAGCTTCTTAAGAATTTTGGTGAAGAATTAGAACTACAGATTTTTGGATCAATTAATGGGAATATACACCGCACCCCCCCCCCCATACATACATACATGTACACATACACATATATACACATTTATACATATATAAAATGTGTGTATATTAGATATAACTGAACCCAGAATACCTGAACATGTTAATACTCTGCCCTCTGATGACACAAAGGTGATGACATTGAGGTGCCCTTCCAAAGAAGGGCAATGGAGCTGGGGAAAGGTCTGGAGCACAAGTCCTTTGAGGAGCAGCTGAGGGTGTTCAGCCTGGAGAAAAGGAGGTTCATGAGGTATCTTGTCACTCTTAAAACTGCCTGAAAAGAGGTTGTGGCCAGGTGGGGATCAGTCTCTTCTCCCAGGTAACAGGACCAGAGAAAATGGCCTCAAATTGACCC